TCTGGAGAATCACTGTCACTGTCTGCTTTGGAAGAGTGAAGAAGCGAGAATCCGAAATCCTCAGAGGATCACAGCAGCATCCAAGAACCGGCTCAAGAAGAATCCAGCTTGCTTCTGCGCTTCCCCTTCTTCCAGCTTTTATCCCACCCAAGGCATCATCCTATTGGGTGGTGCTGCCCACGCCTGGGGAGGGTCTCCATTCCAGTTGGCTGTCCCACATGCCAATCCTTCCTAGACACACCCTCACAGACACACCCATGATCCTCTTAATTCTCAGTATCTCTTGATCCAGTCAAGTCCACAATTGAAATTAACTGTTACAGAGCCACATCCTCAACCCCTTTTATTTTTTATTCTGAGACAGGGTCTCACTAGGTTGCTTACAGCCTCCTAAGTTGCTGAAGCTGGCTTTGAACCTGCGATCCTCCTGCCTCGGCCTCTGAGCCACTGAGAATACAGGCGTGTGCCATCATACTTGGCTTTCCTGGCTCTTTGTTGATGAATGCATGTGTCTCAAGCAAAAGAGGGCTCTCCTCACCCCCGCGTCCCTCTGTCTTGCACAATGTACTGGTCTCTTTTCTGTTGATGTACTAATGCCTGAGGCTGGATATTTTATTTAAAAAGAGCTTAGTGCACAGTTCCGGAGTCTAGAGTTCAAGATCTGCCCCCATCATTTGGACTCTGGCGAGGGCCCCCTCAATTGCATCACAATATGGTGGACAGATGAGAAGGGAAATGGCTGTGTGTAGAGGGGACCAAGCATTCGGGGACCTTCCCTTATAATAGCCCACTCTCACAGGAAGTAACTCACACCCACCCCTTCTGAGGCCACGCCCCCAACGAACTCACCTCCTCCCACTGGGCCCCACCCCTTAAAGGTCCCACCACATCTCCACACCACCACACTAGGGACCCCGCTCCAGCACAGGGACACTCAGGCACATCCCTAGCCCTGAGCAAACACACTGCTTTCCTTCTTAGAAGCACCTACTTGTGCTTTTACTTTCTTGTGTTGTCCCAGACTGCTCCGCAGGCCCTCTGAGGTGGCCGGCATACCTTGCTCATCTCTAATTCTGAGACTGGCACAAAGCAGGTGCTCGGAAGGACAGGAAATTGCAAAGGGGCTGCTCACCTGGGAAAAAGCTGGGAGGCCTTCCCAGTCCCACCCCTGCCACATGGGACAGAACCTCAAGCTGAGCCTTGTGACTGCCAGTTCCCTCTGCCGGCCACCCACTTACCGAGGGTCACGGTGGTGAAGCTGAGCTGGCACCACGAGTGGGGTGCCCGGAGCTGGCCCTCCGGGGGGCAGCAGGCTGGCTCTCTCGGGTGGGGCGAGGGGCACTCCTTGGCTTATAGACTCTCGGGTCTGGACGGGTCTCAATAACTCACAGTGGACGTTGGCTTACAAACTCTGGGCAGGCTGCCTGATCTCTGGGGTCCCTTAAAGCCCTGCCATTTCTGCAAAAGTGAATGGCGACTCTGTGTGTCCTGTCAACAGAGACACCCCGAGTCATCGTTGTTTTAACTGAAATGCGGGACACATTTCCTGCATTTCCCGGCCATGGAAATGATGGGGGAGGTGGCTTTGATAGGGGTGAGGGCGAGGGGGCCACACAGCCCGAGCCCGATTCCACAGTCACCATCTATGAAAGAGGAGCTGTGATCCACGGAGCCGTGGGAGGACGTCGAGGAGTCAGGAAATTTGAAACATATTTCCCAGGCGCAGTTCCGGGCCCCTCTCTGCATAATGCATGAGGCCTGATTTAACGGCCTTGTTAATGCTGTGGCCACCACGCTGCCCACGCTCCCCCGGAAGGGAGCCGTCGTCTTTATGTCTTCCCTTGTATTTTTCCCTGGCAACACAACTCCGAAGCCGTTTGGGGTTGTTCTGTGAGCATGGACGTCCCCCTGACGGGGTGCAGAGGCCGTGGCTCTCCAGAGGCTGTGGCCAGGACATGGCAGGGACTGCTGTGGGCATCATGCAGAGCCACCCTTGGGGAGCCCGCAGAGGTCAGAGCTGAGGGCCCTGAGAAAGAGGAGGGAGGGAGGGGGAGGGGGGGACAGGGGAGAGGGGAGGGAGGGAGGGGGCGGCTGCGGAGCAGAACAGAAGAGAAATGGAACGGAACCAGCTTCTGGGTGGCACAGGAGAGGGCTCTGGCCAAGTGCCGGTGAGTGACGGGTGGGAAGGGGAAAGACAGAGGACCTGGCCAGCCAGGGAGGAAGACTAGACACTGGACAGAGAGCAGAGGGCTGGAGGAGGGGGAGAGAAGAAGCCAGAAGCCCTCCGACAGGGCTTGGTCCTGGTCCCCCATGTCCTGCCCCTGGAGCTCCAGACGGTGGGGACACGGGCAGCCCCCAGCCAGGACTGGAACCTCTTGGGGGCCGCCGTGGGGAGGGCGGGGCTCCTGGGGCTCAGCTCACGGCGACCTCGGTGGGCCCCAGGTGGACAGTGCTGCAGAGCGTGCGGCCACCCGGGGGGACCAAACCCACTTTAAACCTGAAGATCAAGGTGTTTCCCACACGACAGGAGAAGTCCGCGGTGCCATGAGGGGCAGAGGGACTCCCTGCCTGCGTGGGGCGCCAGCTCTGTCGCCGTGTTCAGACAGGAATCAAGGGCGGGCAGAGGCTCTGCCCGCCTGAGGTCACAGCACGTGAGCAGGTGACCCTGGCTCAGGCCTGTGGCTGGAGCGGTGTCTTGAAGCTGGAAGGGAGCATGTGGTGTGGGTCCCTACTGCACAGACAGGAAGACGGAGGCCTCCCTTCCCCAGCCCCACGAAGGGGGCGAAGGGGGCGGAGCAAAGGTCTGCGCAGGTCTGCACCCCAGTCCTGCCCCTCCCCGCTGGGTGGCCCCGGGCACATCTCGTGCTCCACACACACACACACACACACACACACCCCGCCCCCAGGTCCTCACCCCTAGACTAGGAATGAGAACAGCAGACACCCCGGGACTCCTGGAGAGACCCCCCAGGTGGGGGTGACGCTCCTGCCCCTCCTGGGAGGAGGAGGGGCCATGCCCACTGCTGCCCCTGGAGGGGAGCCGGGCACCACCGGCTGAGCCAGCCGTCCTCGCAGCCCCTGCAGCGGGGCCAGTGACCAGCGGCAAGTCTGTCTGTGTCAGGGTGGCTGGTGCCCAGGCCTTTGGCCCCAGAGGGAAGGCAGGTCTGTGGGCTGCGGGGAGCCACCTGGCCTCCGTCTGAGGGACTTCTGAGCCTGCCTCTCTCCGTTTACCTGGGCAAAAAAGAGGAGTGCTACTTACTGGGGACCCTGTGCCCGCCCCCCCAGCAGAGGTCCCAGCTGGGATGCCACAGGGCCGACAGCCGGGCCCAGGACCACTGTGCACCTCGGCAGCCACAGCAGGGACCTGTGGGTGGCGCCACCCGTCTCCTTGCCCGTGTGGCCATGTTGTCCTGTAGTGCAGGTGGGGCTGCGAGCCGTCCTCTCTCCCACCCAAGCTGTCACTGGGCCCCGTCCCTCTGCTCCAGACACACCTTCAAGAACCTGCGAGGATGGACGCCCTTAGTAACGGAGTGCCCAGGCCTCGGGGACAGCACCAATGTCCAGGAGGAAGGAGCAACACCCTCCCTGGCCTCTCACGTGCTCTGTGCTCGGGAACACGGTGTCACCAGTGACAGGTGCTGGGATTCAGCTCAGGGGACAGCTGGTCCCTTCTCTGAATGCCACAAACCCCAGCAGGGCAGGAAATGCAGCCCAGCAGGGGGGGCGTGGCGTCCAGGGGAGGCCCTGAGAGGCGCGGGAGGGGAGCAGATCCTGGCGTGACCCCAAGGATCCCAGGGGCACCTGGGTCACCGTGCAGCCAGCAGAGGTGACGGCGGTGCTGCTGCCAGCATTCGTCCTCTGTCCCCAGTGTCCCCTCTCCCTGGGGCAGGCTCCTGGGCGATGGCCGCAGGTGGCCTAGCCCGCCATGGTGTCCGGAGGTCCACCCTCCTCCCGGCCACATCAGGCTGCCCAGGGCTTCGTCCCAGCCTGGCTGAGCGGCGCGTCCCTGCCACAGCAATCGGTCCAGGCTGGGCACGTGACCTAAGCAGGATGGTCTGGGAGCGTGGACATCACAGCCTTCCCCACCGCAGTTCAGGGGGACACAGGACCCATTACACTACCGAGGTGTCTGAGGCCACAGAGCCCCAACATGTCCCAGTGCCCTCCGCAGGGGGGCTGCCTGGTGTGCCCAGGTCTTACCCTCCCACATCGCCCTCTGTGTGACCTGGGCTTGGCCGTGGCACTTGCTTTGGCCAGTGGAGCCCACAGAGAGCCAGCCGGAGCTCGGGACCTGCCTGGGACAGCTCTGTGCAGGCACCACCCTGAGGATGTGCCCACGCGGGCTGCTGGAGCGTCTGGGGCACCTGCTGGACAGCCACGTCTCCCCAGCTGATGGCCAGCCCAGCCCGGACATGGAGAGAGCCCCCCAGGAGACCCACAGAGCCATCAGCTGACCTTCGGACAGGGCTTGGATCTTGAATGTCTCCCAAAGCTGCCTCAGCTGGGGGCGTGGTCACCAGCCTGGGGTGTTCCTGGGGGGACACTTAGTAGGGGGGGTCTGGTGGGAGAAGCTAGGTCCCTGGAGGCGGCCCTCGAAGGAGAGTTTAGTCCCTGGCCCTTCCTCTCCGCTCTTTCACTCCCTGGCCCCCGGGCGAGCAGTTTCCACCATGCGCTCCCGTGGTGTGCCCCTCACCACAGGCCCAAAGCATGGAGGCCGAGCAGCCACGACTGGGGCCTCGGAAACCGTCCTCCTCCTGTTCATCTCAGGCATGGTGAGAGGACGGACATGGGACTGGCACACCCCTGGCTGGTGGGCGACACTGAGTGGCTGTGTGAAGTCGGTGAGCCCAGGCGGTTGTTACACAGCACTGCGGCAGCGCTGACAGCTACAAACCCCTTGCCCGCAGGTTCCCGGAAGCCACCAGCTTACAGTTCAGAGAATCATCCTCACAGCGCGGTTTTACTCCAGCCTCACAATGGAGAATCAGAAGCAGGACGTGTTGGCCACAGTTCCACGTTCATTTAATGCCTGATTACTATCTCGGATGGCAAGTTCACAAACACACACTGGGACACAGACGCACGGGCTGGGGGGACATATCCAACAAGAGAGGTGTCTCCTGGCCACCCTCAGGGGATACAGAGGCGGGACAGGCATGGTGAGGCCGGGGGTGCCCCCACCCTGGCACACTGCCTGGAGAGGGGGCTGCCCTGCCCGCTTGCCTCCGTGGGGCCCGGGGCGCGCTCCCCGGGGGCCTCTGGGGGGTTGAAGACCTTCTCATGGTACTCGATGAGCAGCTCAGTGAAGAGGTTCAGGGGCACCAGGGCGCTCAGCGAGGACAAGCCCTGGGACGGCCAGATGAGGTTCAGCCCGAAGACGCAGGCCAGGTTGGAGCTGTTCATCTTGTTATAGAGGCTCTCCCGGGACACCTGGCGAGACACGAGGGGTGGGCCCCAGCAGAGGCTCAGCCAGAGTCTGGCTTTGTCTGAAAAGCGAGGGTCTTTGCTGATGGCATTAAGCCGAGTCTGTCAAGGTGACATCACCCGGGACTGCCCAGGCGGCCCCAACCCAAGGATGAGCGTCCTTCAGAGATGAAGGCAGGGGCGGTGATGAGACCGGGGACAGAGGAGAGGACAGGCGAAGGTGGGGACCGGGCTGGGCCGGGCGGCCACCCGAGTGGCCAGGAGCCGGAAGGTGCAGGAGGGCCCCACCCTGGATTCTGTGGCGGAAGGAACCTCCCTGGACTCTGTGGCGGGAGGGCAGTCCTGCCCGCACCTCCCTCTCTGGCCTCGGCCCCAGCTGGACCCCTCTGGGATGCGGCCTGTGGGCCCAAAGCGCAGGGTGCCTGGTTCCCTCGCAGGAATCACCTGCCATTGGCTCAGGGCCTACTGTGTGCCAGCCTCAGGGCCTACTGTGTGCCACGCCTCCCCAGCCCAGACTCAGCCCAAGCCGAGGCACAAGAGCAGAGGAGCCCGAGAAGGAGGTGGCCGGCAGGAGCGGACGGCCAGCCCAGGTGCAGGGCGGGAGGCCGTGGTTGGCCCTCCTGGCCACAGGGAGGTTCCCCGCAGCCCTCACCTGGCCAGGCTGTGGACGAAGGCCTTGGCCACCTGAAGTAGTGTTCTGAGGACGTGCCCCAGGTCAGGCAGGCAGGGCCCGGCCTGGCGTGGGGGAGAGGCGCCGGCCAGGCGCGGGCTGGGCCGCTCACCTCGTGCAGGAAGCCCATGAGGTAGCGCAGCACGGCGTGGTTGTGCTCGGGGAGGCTCTGCAGGATCTGGCGGCAGCGGGTGACGCGGAGGCTGCTCTCCACACCTGCAACAGCACCGCCTCGCTGTCCAGGGGCCCGCACGCTCGCCTGCCCAAGGGGCCGGCGTGGCCTGGGCAGCTCTGGACGCCGACTGTGCTCGGGCCTGGACACCACGCATACTTCCCGGAGGGGGTGCGCTCAGCACAGGCCACCCCCCCTCCTGGTCCTGGGGGGCTGGAGGCCGAGTCCGTGGAATAGGAGTGGTCTAGGCCAGGGGTCGGCCGCTGCCCCACCCCTCCCCCTACACTCCTGCTCAGTGACCTCAACCCCAACCGCCATCAGTAGGTGTCACCAGGCTCCCCGTGGGCACCTGCCACACACTCCTCAGCCTTTGGTACCATCTTGGTTCTCAACAACCACAGCTTCGGAACTTGTGGAATCTCCTTGTAAAATGACCAGTGAGCAAAACACGATTGGAAACAGGTCTGATGCCGCTTGGTGGGGCCAAATGGACATAGCAATTATCCCAAGGAATGGTGCCTGTGGAGCGCTACGGAGCCATCAGAAAGGACACGGGGCTACAGTGTGCACAGGAGGAGGACAGCACTAAGGGGAGCTCTGAGGAGGGACAGGTGAGGTCGTGGGGGAGAGTGTGTGTGTGTGAGATAGAGAGAAGGGGAGAGGGAGGGAGGGAGAGGGAGAGGACAGAAGGAGGGGGGCAGGGTGAGACCCTTGGAAAGAGGAGCAGCCCCGCGTTGCCGTGGCCGTCCTGGCGTGGACAGGGCATGGGGCTGTGCCGTGGCCTCCTGGGCGGTGGCTCCCACCGTGTGCTTGTGCCATTCCATCAGGGTTAGGGTCTACGCTCCCGCGGCCCCCCTCCAGCCAGCCCTGGTGTAGAAGGCAGCGCTCAGCCCCGGGGCTAGGGCTTGCTGTCCCGACTCTGCACGTGGCACTCCTCCGCATCACAGCCCTGCAGGCTCCGCTGCTGGTGGACAGGGACAGGTAACCGCGCCGTGGGCACCGGCAGACTGGCCCTCGAGGCCCCCGAGGCACTGCCCCACGTGGCAGTGTGGCCTGGCTGAGGTCAGCGGGGGCAGACCTCACTGCGTGGTGGGGAGCCCCACAGGTCCCTTCTGTGCCAGATGGCCACAGGGTGAGGCTAGCCGGTGCCACCCCAGCGGTGCCAGGGCCTGACCTGGCGGTAGGTGGCCCCCAAGGACCCGCAGCCCCTGCCAGACGTACTGGTGATCCCGAGGATCTGCTCGTAGGCCGCGAAGGTCAGCAGCGGCTGGGGCAGCTCCCGCAGGAAGGTCTTCAGGACCACGGCAGGGACGTGGATGTCCCCATAGTCATCGAAGTTCACGGGCTTCCCTGCAGGACGC